GAGGTAGAGGCAAAGAAAACGAGACAAAGTGACAAGCCCAAGTCCGGGAATGACACGTTACATTTCAGAAAGCGGATGTGGTAGGCACAGGAGCGCGACCAAGTACAGGTCAAAACCGGGAGCCCCCGTTTACAAGGTCTGGTAGTCAGGTAGTCTATTCTTTACATCCACTCGGTGGCACCAAACGCTTCCGGCTCGAAACCGCGCTCCTCGGCCATCGCTTCCTGATGCGCCGTGGTTCTCGCACCCAAAGGGCCACCAGCCGCCAAGGCGGCCTGCCCGTTTCGAAAGGACTGTGTCGGCCTTCTGACACGGACGTTTCGAAAAGAAAGACACCGAGAAGTGTAACACACAGCACGCATTCATCCACTTATTGGCATCATGCGTTATGAAGGATGTTGGGAAGCTTTCTCAGGGAGGAGGCCTCATCTTGGCCGGTCCCTCCTGTGGGTCTGAAATGGTCTGAATATGACTGATGCCCGTCCAAGCGACAGGTCTGATAGGTGTCTGCTCAGTGGCTTCGCAAATCGCTCAATCCTTCCACATGTGCTACAAGATGCTACAAGTACCTGCTCAGACTGGAGCCAAGATGTAAAGTGCTGAGAAGCTACTTAAGCGTCAGACCTCACCGATTACAGCAGGGAAAAGTCTTCCCATATCTTTCCCGGTTGAACAAGCCCTAAAACTGCTCGCCGCCTGCTGCTGAGCGGCTTGAAAACAGCTCGTGCCTGGGTGGAAAGACAGGAAGACTTGGGGTGTAAAAAAGACAGTGTATATGTAGAGAGAGAGAGAGGGAGAGAGAGAGAGGGAGAGGCTTCTGACAGCCTCAAGAGTTGGGTCTCAGAGACCTAATTTCGGGGAATTGGATGCTGGGCTTCTCTCGCACCGCGTAGGCATGCGTAGGCATGAGTCGGCTACTTGGGGGCTCAAGAAACCACCGCTGCCACTTGCGCCGGTCTTGTTTGAAGCCCAAGCAACCAGGACCAAACGACTGGGCACCATGATGTCTCATGCTCATTCAACACACTTTGACTGGGCATCTTAGGCTGTGGCATGGGGCAGTCTCGGGGGCATCCCAGGGAGTTCCGGCACCAATCTGGGCAGATCGACATGCGGATTGAACCCCCCAACTGAAACCCCTGAAAGATTCTGAAAATCCTCACGCTAGGGTTTTTAGCTTTGACCGCACGAATCGCCAAAAAGAAGGCCTTCCTCACTGCTGGTTTTTGTGAAGTGTGGACACGCTTACGCAGCCAGTTTCTTGCTTACCTGTTGAGGTTGGTTAGCGGGAGTTGAGCTGTTGAGGATAAGCGTTGCTTCCTAACCATTCTGTGACCTGCAACAAGTCAAGGCCAAAAACCGCGAGACCATGTTGTAGGAAGGCTGATCAGGCTAAGTTTGCTGGTTTGCCTCTTCTTGTCATTATCATTTCTTCGTCATTCTTTGTTGTTTCGGCTGACAATGTGTGAACAGCTGAGAGGCCACTGTGGAGTGGAACAGAGTGGAACCAGAAATCCAAAGCCTTCGAGGATTCATGCAGGACATTGGTGTGTCAGGCTTGCTTTTGGAAAAGTAAGTGAGAACTGCAGATTGATTATACTGGAGGCTAAGGACCAAAGGAATACTAAAGGAAAAATTTGGAATACGAAGAAGGAATTTCACCGAAACACGGCCCCCAGCTGCGTGGCTGAAATCGACAGCTGGAGCAGTGGCTTTCCGCATCGATCGGCCCGGCGCCAGCGCCGCGTCGCCAGCGCCTTCTGTTGCGCTTGACGGTTCTGCCGCCGCGAGGCCTGCGCCTCCTCGTTCCGCCCAGGCCGGGTCCACAAAACACCAAGCGGTGACCAGGCAACTCCACCTACTAAGGTCTCTGAAGCATACTGAAGGTATCTGAAGGCATCTGAAGGTTTTAGGAGGTCGCCTTTTGGACTCGTGAAGCCATGCCAAATCGTGCATCCGTGGCCCGCACGAGCTGGCCCTGACCAGACTGCCCGCCCTCCTGGTGTGTTCTGTGTGCATCCGCCGTCGCGAGAGGGCCATGTCTTGGTTGAGCCTCCCGGTCCTCGCACGAGTCGCATTGCCGCTAAGCAGGGTGGAGTCCCATCCAAATAGGGAGACTGCAACGTCCGGCCTTTCAGTTTGCAACATGTACACGTGTTTTTTCCATCAGGAAGGGCCCTTTCCTTGATCCCAGCCTTGTTGCTCGTGGCTGATCACTAGGCCTACGGAGGTCTTGGTGCTGTGGAAAAGATCAGGTGCATCGGCACCTTTTGAGCTTGAAGCCTTTGTGGACACTTCTTTTGATAATTTGAGAGGGCCCAATACAGCACCTTGCAAACAAGGCGAACTGCTGGGTGCCTGCCAAGTGTAGGGTTCAGCTTTCGGTAGGGCAGGTGGATGAAGAAACAGCAGCCCTTGAGGAACCGGATGAATCAATTGCGCAGTCCGCCGTCCATCCATCCCAGTCCATCCCAACCCCCACGCTCCGCAGCGCTGGCACCAAAGGCCGAGTGGTCATCGAAGGGACACACCCCGCGGTTTCTTTGCGAGGCCTCAAAAAGGGCCCGGAGATGACAATGGAATGTGTTCTTTTTACTCCAAAGACCTCCCATTGTCGGGTCCTTGAAGGAACACGACAGTCTATGACTATCTCTTGTCTTCTGATCGTGGTAACATCGAGGGCAGGCGGGCACGGGCTGCTTTGCCTGTTGACAGGCCATCCTTGCTTCAGCGGCCACCTGCGCTAAGAATTCTGGGTGGAGGTGTATTTCCAGTGTCTCAGGGTCAGTCAGGGCAGCGGACTAAGCTGCTCTTGGCTATTGCACACTTGTCAGCAAAGGGCATCATGCTGCAACTCCATTCTGCCCCTTTCATCGAAATGTCAAAATAAGCCACGGTGAAAAAGGCCACAGTACAATCACTCAAACTGAAGACCCTGAACCCAAGTGGGCCGTCAAGGCCCTCATGATTCTGCTGATGAAGGCATTGAATCTAGAACTCTCAGCACGACGCATACTTTGGCCGCTTTAGCCCTAGTAACAACGGGCTGATACTTTTATCATCCGGACCTCCCCCTTTGATGGGTTCTGAGTTTCTATGTGCCTCATTTGGGGGGCCACACCTCTGCTGGAGTGGGTTGGTAGCCTCTGAGCCTCAGCATCGGATCGACCCCAACCGTCCAACACTGCGAGGAACTGGGCGTCGTTTTGACGCTTGCTCACCAGACTCATGTCAAACTGTCAAACCATCCGTGTTAATCATTGTTGAATCATTCATCAAATGCCTGGCCCGTGGAACCCGCGCTTTCGCATCAAGGGCTCCTGCGCAAGACGAGCTCCTGCGCGAAGCCCAGGTGAAGATGTGCCTCAAAGGTAGGTGGTCGTAGTCTTGGAAGGCCAGCGGGACACACCCAGTGTGACAACGTCACTCTAAGTGTCCGACGGTTTGTTGCCACCCCAGTGTGAAGGATCTGGCTGGCTAAAGGACTTCAACTGGAGGTCTCAAAATTCACTACCCGACTCTATTGAATACTCAAGCCACACGCCCAAAAAATAACCTGTCCCATGCTGCCCAACAAAGTCGATGCCCACGACATCCACGCAGCATCGATGCCAAAGGTTTGTTGCTTCTGAACCCGAGTTCAAACTCCTCCGGTCGAAATCTCGTTGAACCTGCTAACTTGTTTCACCTCCTCAATCGGGAACATGCTCTGGCACCTCCTCTGCTATTCCAGAACCCCCTCTTCCCAGGTGCAACCTTGCTGGAAATTTCCTCGCGAGCCTGCTCTGGAAACTTACTGCCCTCCTCCCTGCTCCGCAGCCTCTTGAGAACCTGCTCTGCAACCTCCAGAATCTGCTTCGCAACCAGCCACGCAAAACACACAAACCTTCTTCTAGGGCACACCCCAAGCTCTCGCTGCTGGAAAACACTGGCCACATGCGATTGCCCGACGGTGACCCAACACACGTCTTCAGTCGGTGCCTTTTTGATGTCTTGGGAAAACCTAAGACTAGGAGCAAGGACGCTACTACGGGCTCCTGGCATCGCTACTAGGAGCAAGGATGCTAATAGGAGCATCAGGATGCTAATAGGAGCATCAGACATGCGTGAAACAAAATCATTATCATTGGCCATTATAGTTGTCACTGTTGCAAATACAGACAGATTGAAGCCAATGTACCAAGCACATTGAATGCTTATGTTGATTCCATACAACTGAATGCTCCTCACGTGCTGTTCGGAAGTGGTGCACTGAGGATTGCACTGCTCGTCTCTCCTTATGCAAATCATCTTTTCATTTGCCAGAGGAAACATCGTGGCACATGAAGAAATACTTGCCTTGCTGAAAGATACTTTCCTGCAGTGAGGACAAAGGGATGATTCCGAACCTGACACTTCTCAGTAGACCGGTTGCGGAAAGCAAAACCTTTCTCCAAGCCAAAGCTGGCTTGCAGCTTGGCATCTGCTGCTTCTGCACCTGCTTGTCAAAGTACATCAAAGGATCCATCACCTGTGAAACCGGATCCCTCAGAGAGGTTGTGAAGCACATCCACCACAACGAATCGATTCGATCGGATGGCAAGCGTCAATGCACCTCTGTGTTTGCAGCTCGAACAATGAGGCGTGGCTCTACCAGAAAATGTTTTCGTGAAACCAGGCGCTGAACTGTTCTAATTGGCCAAGAAACAATGACGCACATTCCGTCCATCTCTAGTAAAGTCACACTTGGAAGCAGCTCTGGTTTTCTCTCTCTCTTTCTCTATCTTCCTTGCTTGTGCGATTGTAGTGAAAGATCCAAAAGCTGCTGCAATCATAGGTCTCACATCTTTTACTCAAGCGTTTTGGCTGGATTGTTATGTGCAAAAGTAGCATGAACACAAGCTCGCATAGAGTGATTTACCTATGGACCACTAATGGAATTGAACATATCTATGTCTGCAAAACCACGTCTGCAAGGCCAGCAAGGCCACCCCAGACACACTCAGTCAGATTGGTCGCACTGTCGTTTGCCAGAGATGACCTTCGAGATCCTCTGCCTCAGATCGCCAGCATTCGATGTACGATGTCTGTGCTCTTCAGAGCTGGCATCTTCAGAAATACCATGGGCACGTTCTGGGTCCTGCCGGATTAAGGAGAAGGGTAAAACCGATGGGAAAGCCTCAAGTCCGGTGGTCCAAAGTACCTACAAAGGTCCGGGGATAGGTCTGCCTCAAAAAAATGTGGTCTAACAGTTAGTCTGACCTGTCAAGCGGCTCTTGCTTGTCCACCACTCTTGAGCTCACAACGTGTCCATCCTGCAGACCGCATGAGCGGAAGGGGAAGCGGTGAAAGATCAAGAGTCTTGTCTCCATTGCGGGCCCAACAAAAAAAACAAAAGGCCAGTCCATTCTGCCCCGCCCAAAAAGCAGGTGTGTGTGTGTGTGTGTCACCCTCCGTCTCTAGGAGTTTGATTGCCACAATCCTCACGGTCATATGCAGGGGGCGACAGGGTCGCTGCATGGCTGTCGCCAACGAAGCTCCATGCAGTCGACCAGGATGCAGGGACTGATCATCCCTGTGTACTTGCACTTTCAACTGTTGACCACGCTGTCCACTCCTTTGTTTTGCTGCCACGGTTGTTCTCATGATAGACCCCAAAACATTTTCCACCGCCGCTTTCCGCCGACTTTAATCTTGCAGCTGCAGTCACGCGTGAACTCTTTTGTTAAAACACCTTCAAGTCACTGGACCCAGCCGCCATTCCGTTCCTTCGTCGCTTTTCGCGTGGAACAGAGTTAACGGAAACCCTATGACTAAGTGTGTCTGTACGTGCGTCAAATGTATATAGCATCTATCATGCCGTTCAACGATAGACCTAAAATAAGACGCCTCAGATGCCGTGGCATCATGGTCCAACCCAGAACAACCCTTCGACTTCTGAAACCCTGAAAGAAGAAGTGCCTTACTACTAGTAACAAGTGCGTCAATACTACTGTATAGCTGCTTCTTGTTACTAGTAGCAATGCACTTGTTACTAGTAGCGATGCACCTGTTCCTAATCGCGATGCACTACAACCCTTCGACTCCTGAAACCCTGAAAGAACACCTGAACGATGTCTTCTCCATTCAGCTCAAAGAAAGCAAATGCCCTCATCATCCCTCATCTATTAGTGTGGAGCTTCTGACACGGCCCTGCTTCATTTCGCCTGGACTGTCACATCTGTGGCATCTTTGTACAGGCCTGGGCTTGGGTGCGAAAGGTCACAAGTGTGGCATCTTCTTCCCGCAGAATCGACATGCACAATATGCATGAACCGGCACACGCTCTGGAAAGTCCAGCAAAGTATTACATTCTACAGTGTCTGATTCGCTACTAATAGCAAGAGCATCGCTACTATTCTTACTACTAGTATCAAATCGTATTATTATCAAACATGTTGTTGGGCGACATCGACATCCCCACCAAGTGCCCCGACGTTGCAAAGCCTCTGGGGAAAGCACTGCAGAGGTGTCGAAGGGCGTTGAGACGTCCTGTGCCAATTTGGCACATCAAATCAATGAAAAGGTCCTTTTCACCAGGGAAGTATTGCAGCATCTCTGCACCAAGTGCTCGATTCTGGGAGTAACAAGAAGGAAAACAAACGCCCCTTAAATGTCTTACTTAAACCTTTTGGGTGGGTGTCCAAAACCATGCCCACACAATCCGTAGCCCCCAAATAGTGATGTCAAATGTGTCAGGCATTTCAGTGCAGCACAGCATGTCCTTTTGGCCTGGACAAGATGACTGGTGTTTGAGCCTTTTTCCGGAGCCAAACATGCTCACATTCCTGGATCTTCCGAGCTTTGGACGGAAATCGAACAATCCGTGGTCCTCAAAATAGAAAATGTTAATCCGATACTATCCATCCATTAGACCCTCTATATTATATCTAGACTTTCGTCTAGGTTTCATGTGCCCCAACGGTCCTCGGACGTCAGAGAGCTTCGGATCAAATCATTGCGGAGTTGCGCATTGCGCTCCTGGTCGGATGGGGAGGAGCAAACGAACCCAACATGTCCTCTTCTTGACCCCAAAATTCATTGGGAGCGTCAATATCGACGGCAACCAGAGCATAGAACAACATCAACATATCGATAGCACTCAGCCAACACAACCACAAACATATGCTGGGGCCTTGCAAATCCATGACACCACTATCCAGAAGCTCGTTCTGCAGGCCGCAAGCAGGGCGCAAGCAGGGCGCAAGCAGGGCGCAAGCAGGGCGC